ATTGTTAGAATGAGCTGATATTCTTAAAGGGAGGGACTCTAGACAGACTGACTAGATCCCAGTGAAGGACCTTGCACTAAGAGACATCTGGGGACACTAACTTTACATGATAGGCCTTAACACAAATGACAGAAGTGTATGAACTCCGGGGGGGCACTATGGGAGGGTCTCAAAGGGGAAGAGGGTATAAAGATGATTTTCTGTATGAACTACAAAGTAATGGGTTCCATCATAGCGCTCACCTGTCCGTATTCTTTGCTCATATTCACCATCCTACCACTGTTGCCCACATCCCCCACCAGCTCTTGCTCACCCCCTTCCTCCTTCCAGACTTCTTCCTCTTTCATGTCACATGTATTCTTTCTCCTCTCTCTCTCCTCTCCTTCCTTTCTCCCTTCCCCCCCCCCATCCTCCTGCCTCTACCTCTGGAGTGCTAGTAGTACAGCCTGCTCTATTCCCCTTGTGTCCCTTTTTTTGTTTTTTCTTCCTTCTTCACAAACTAGAAGCTTCTGAGCTTAAGTGGATTATGTCTTAGTTTCATTTCTGTTGCTGTGATGAAATACCTTGACAAAAAGCAACTTAGGCAAGAAAGGGTTTATTTTAGCTCACAGTTCCAGGTTACAGTCTGTATTAGTTACATTTTCTGTTGTTGTGATAAAAACACCATGACAAGGCAACTTACAGCAGGAAGAGTTTATTGGGTTTATGGTTCCAGAGGGTTAAGAGTCCATCATGGTGGGGCAGACATGGCAGGAAGCAGCAGGAGGCAGTCAGAATAGAAAACTGAACACACATCTTCAAGCAGGCACAGGGAGCAGAGAAAAACAGGAAATGGCAAGGCTACACACCTCCTAAAGAAAGGTTCCATGACCCTCCCCAAACAAACAGCACCACCAAATGGAGGTCAAGTGTTCAAAAACTTGGAGCCTATGGGGGATATTCTCATTCAAACCAACACAGGGTCCATTCACTGTGAGGAAGTCAAGGCAGGAAACTGCAGCAGCTAGTTTGTATCCATAGTGAAGAACAGAGAGAAATAACTTGTCTTCAGCCCCCACCCTACACTCACAAAGTCCAGGACCCAAACCCAAGGAATGGTGCTGCCCACAATGGGTGGGTCTTCCTACCTCAGTTAAAGTAATCCAGACACCCCACAGACATGTCCACAAGGCCTACCTGATCTAGATGCTGAGACTCTCTTATTGGTGAGTCTAGGTTGTATAAGCTCACAATGAAAACTAACCATCACATAGTAGTTTAAAAATATTTGTGACTGGTATTTAGAAAGAAAGATTCAGACTTTTAGAAAATAGATTTCCAGTGCCCTCTTCCCTTTTGAGAAAAATGGATTTATTTTCCTAACTGGCAATGGTTACTTACTGGAGGGAAGTAGGTACCCCTGGACACGCAGACTAAGTACTCTCCAGTGCACCTGGTTCATCAAGCCTGCTGTACTCAGCAATTGACCATTAATGTGTCACTGGACCCAAAAGGTGCCAGTCCTTTGAGATGGCTGTCAGTCAATTCTCCTGTCTCCCACTGGCTTCTACTTTTGCTCTCTCCAAGAATTAAATGGGCAGACAGCAAAAGAACAAGAACTTTATTAATTCAGGATTAACAGCTTCGAACAGACAACTCGAATGGAACTGGGAGACTGGATCTCTTGGTGGCAGCAGGATGCTGCTAGCTAAGAGCTGCTGGGAGTGTTACAGTTCAGCAGGACTCCAGAGGCTCAGCTCTGAGAAGCAGTGGATCTCAGAAGGCAGGAAACAGTGGAAGGAATGAGTCCCTCTGCCTATAGTCCCAGGCTGAGTCTTGGAAGCTGGGGCAGCCTGAAGGAACTCCCTGTCTGTTTCCATGAGTCTGTCTCTGGCCAATCTTGAAGGCAGTGTTCCTTCTCTTCTTCCATCCTGCCTGTTGTGAGCAATCTGATGGGCCTGTCCAGAACCCACACTCCCTGTTAGATAGAGCCAGGTGGGTCCTGACTGGCTCAAATGTGTGTGCATTCAAGTGAAGAGTAAAATGAGACCAATCAGGAAAGAGCTATCAAACTTGGAGGGAGAGAGGAAGAACGCTGAGCCCACCAAGTGTTCCCAATCAGGTAGGTGGGTCCACCTCCTACCACAGTGGTGGAAGGTTCACAGTTATTTAACTGTCAAACAGTGTAACAGGATAATTTGTGTCCAGGAGTTTCTGATTATGACAGTAATGTTTTGATCACTTTCACACTGGAGCTGCTGTCCCAGCTGGTTCCAAGAGAGGATCATCCATAGCGCAGTCCTATCTTAGTCACAGACTGCAGTCTGATCCCCACTTCAAATGCTCTTGAGCCTTTTCCATGTCAGTTTCAGTCCAGCTTGGATTTTGTGTTTTGTTCCTGGTTGCCTCTCCACTGACAGTTGAACCAAAGCCCATTACCACTGATTCCTTGCCCTCAGGGCTCAAGCTCCCAGCTGCCACAAAGCTCTGAACCTGGGGTCCCTCTTAACCCCTATCACATTTAGGAACCTCCAACTAAGCTGTCACTATCCTTTAAGGAAGTGGCCTGACAGAACAGTCTGTCCTCTTAGGTATAGGGTTTGGGAGTTAAACAGTTGGCAGAGGAAACAGACAACTACAATGTAAGTATGGTAGATAAAGAGAACAGGAAAGAGATGAAGCTGAAAGGTTTGGGGTTCAAGGTGGATACTAAGGTAGACTGTCCTTTTGGATAAGAAAATTATTAAAAGCTATTAATGCCATAGACCCACAAAAGCAGTATAGCAGGGACTCTAAGGAGAGCTCAGGCTCATGTGGCAAACTGGGGATACTTTCTTATAGGTTACAGAGGAAGGGGGAGGTTCCATAACAACTGGGTGATGAGTAGTCCTCAGTACTGGGATGTAATAAGACTGTTTCTCATTCCTGGCTGACGAGGGGGAGAGGAGGGAGTCTTGTATTCCCAGAAAGGAATGTGTGACCCACAGGACATGTGAGAGGTTGGGAGAAGGGTCCTATTTTATTAATATGTATTCATCATATAGTACGCCACTGGTAACTCCTGATAGCTTAATATGTTAGCTTGCAGTTTGCATGCAGAATCAGCTATGAGGGAGAAGATATAGCTGCAGATGGAGGACACACAGACCCAAGCAGCATCTATCTGGTCTGTGTTCTAACAGAAGTAACTTTTTTTTTTTTTTTTTTTTAACCTACTTGTGATCTTTATCACAGACAAGCATGCTGAGCTGGTCACACAGAAGAGATGGCAGTGGCAAGAAGGCAGATACAGAGTTCCAGAGAGCAAATGGGGGCCAGACTTGCAGGGAGCAGAGGCAGCTAAGAAATAAATAAATAAATAAATAAATGCCTCAGGCTGTTCTAAACTGTGTAGTACAGGATCCCCTCCAACTCAGAGAGATCCTCCTGTCTCAGTCTCCCAACTGCACAGGCTGAAGTAACTTTAACCCTGCCATATGATCCACAACGGCCTAGAGCAGCATCTAAACTTTTCAGCAAATCAAAAATACCCCAGGAATACCGGGCACGGTGGCGCACGCCTTTAATCCCAGCACTTGGGAGGCAGAGGCAGGCGGATCTCTGTGAGTTCCAGGCCAGCTGGGGCTATGGAGAAACCCTGTCTCAAAAAGACACAAAAAAACCAACCCAGGACTAAGTAGGAATCTAATGCAAATAGGTATATTTCAGGCAAAGGGAATCATATATAAGCTGTTGGAGTAGAGAGCATAGTTCAGATACCGGGAACACAGGGTTAACAAGAAGGGGCCTGTGCTAGATGACGGTTAAGATATAAGGAGCAAATTAAGCCGAGTCTGGTATGACAACTTAAGTAGACTGAACTTTCTCTTAGCTACAACGAACCACCACCGAGCCTCAAAAAGAAACGCGGTCTATGCAATGTACATAATTAGGAAGAAACCCAACTCCTAATTATTCCAATTAACTCCTAACGAAGTAACTACCAATTCTCCGCTGTTCTGTACTTACCGCCCACTTGAACATTCAATACAATAAAATCAATAACACTCCACGGACAACGGAAGTGGCCTCAGAGCTCCGACCGGAAACAGAAACTGACCACTACATGCGCCACCTAACGGCCAGCTAGAGCAAAAGCGAGGCCAGAAAGTCGCCCTACCGGAAGGTGCGTGGCAGTTTCCGGTGAAAATTTGACCGAGCCAAGATTCGGAGGGCGAGTCTCGAAGATTTGGCGTTTTCTTGGCACAGTCGGCTTCGCAACGTCGCACGCCCGCTTGTGCGCAGGCGCGGGGTACTGCGCAGCCGAACACGTACCGAAAGTACGCGCGTGCCAGTTCTGCCTCCATCGCGGCTTAGCTGTTTTTTCAGGGTAAAACCTTTGGTTGGAACTGTAACGCGGGATCTTGGTTTCTGAACTACAACTCCCAGCAGGCATCCCCCCTCACACGGACCCGAAGTATGGTTTCATAGGATAGAACAGAAATTTAAGTGATGACGAACCAAACAGGAAGCAAGTTGATTATGCTGTTTGAGCACATCACTTGCAGAAGCCCCAGTGGCCTAATGGATAAGGCATTGGCCTCCTAAGCCAGGGATTGTGGGTTCGAGTCCCATCTGGGGTGGTATTTCTTTTTTGTGTTGCCCCATTAGAAAACGATTGCTACGAGTGTCTCTGTTCTTCCTAATGGGAGGGATGTATGTCATTTTCTTTCTAACGGGTCGATGTCCGTCCCGCGAGCTGCAGGTCAGAAAAGTCTTCTGTGAAGTCAAAATGCCGAATTTTGCCATCCCTCGCACAAACTTGTATATTCCGCGTGAGCTACATCAAACCCACACCCTCTCCTGCCGGGCCGCCTTTTCTCCGGACGTCCAGCCAACTACCAGAGCAGACCTGCTCCCTCCGGCCTTCGGAAGGGCTTCTGGAGGACCGGGTGACGAGTCACGCGGGGCCCGGGCGCTCCTCGCGTTCCATTTGGGCCTGGCGCTGGCGGCGGCCGCCCGTAGGGGGCGCTGCGGTCTGTACCACTCGCGCCCGGGAGGGAGGCGGCCAGGCGGTGCAGCGCGCCCTTCCGCCTTTAGGGACCCGGCCAAGGACAGGAAAATGGCGGCCTTGGGGTCCCCGGCGCGCACTCTGCGTGGCCTTCTGCGGGAGCTGCGCCACCTGAGCGCGGCTACCGGGAGAGCCTACCGCGATACCGCGGCCTACGGGTATCTGGTGAAGGCTTTCAGTGCACACCGGGTACGGACGTCCCCGGCAGGGAGAAGGGGATGTGAGTGAGCGCGCGGGGTCGCAAGGCCTGCGAGTCTGGGTTCCCACCACGCAGTAAGGGCCGGGGGCTAGCCTGTGGCCCTCAGTCCCCTACCAGCCCTGGAACCGCGTGGGGTGCCCCTCCCCGGGGACGTGGATTCTGCCTCCGGGCGGGTGGAGCCCTCCCGGAGGATTTAATTGGCTGTTGTGGTGCTGGGTGGGCGTGTGGAATGGAGGAAATGTAAGGAAGGGGCGGACGTTAAGGTTTGTGAGGTGTGGGCGCTGGGGTCCCTACACTTTGAAAGGCACTCCCCTCTCCTCTTCCCAGATCAACGACAAGCAGCAGTTCTTAAGGCACAAAAGATAACTGTAATGAAGTGGTGAATATTTGGGACTAAAAGAGTAGGAATTGGGTTTTCCTTGTGTTATGTCCCGTTCTCCACTGAGGAAGGTGATGACGTGTTGTCTATAATGAGGTTGCACCATCAGCCACAATAGCTTGCTGACATCTGTAATATAGACACACAGAAGGCTATCCTTGGGACGTGCCATTGTGAAATCCACACTCCATAGCCCTCTTGGTCCCTGCCTTTTGGATCAGATCAAGTAGAAATGGGGCAGCCGAGGCTCAGAGACAGTTCGTTACCCATAAAAGAACACGTAGAACTAAGGCCTTTAGTAAGTTCTCACAGTTTGGACTTACAGACAGAGCTTGGAAAGAAGCTGCATCTTATCTCAGAAATGTTACATTCCGGGATCCACCAGGTGTTTTGGGAACGAAACCCAATGTGCTTGACCAATGTTGGAAAAAGGGGAACTATCATCTTAACTGAATTTCTGAGCCATCCAAAAACCTTAGAGCTAAAAGTCACTTAGCTTTTTAAGTCATGTTAGGGACTGTGTACTAGCAACGTGGGCCAAATATCAAAAATAAGACGAACACGGGTCATGTCCTTTAAGATGCTATGGTCCACCAAGAGAGCCATAAAATAAAGCTATGCTCGGTTTAAGTGCTAAGGGTGTAGACAACCCAGAGGATTATGGTATAAAGAGGTAGTTAGGAAAGGCTTTCAGGAAGATATTAAGAAGGAACCTGGAATTAGTAAGTAAATGGAGTTAGGAAAGATGTGAGGACACGGAAAGAAACTGCATAATTGAAAGTTAGAACTGACTGAAATAGTGGTTAACAGTGCTGTAGGTAAAGTGGGGAGAGATGAGTAGGTGGGCGGCTGGAACTTAAACTTTTAAGTGTAATAGAAACCCACTTAAGTGTAAGGTTTGACATGATTATAGATGTGCTTTATGGAGGTAACATTACCCTGGAATGAGGCTTGGTAGTGGCTCTGAAAGTCCTCTGAAAAATACTTAAAATTCATGAGCAAACCTCCAGGGCTGATGGTAAAAGACAGTACTACAGCTTCTGTCTAGCCGGGAATTCCCGTCTCCTATGCTTGAAAAAAGAAATTTCAGGGCCGGGTGTAGGGGCACCATGACTTTAATCACAACACTAGAGAGGCAGAGGCAGGCCGGTTGTTCTGAGTTCAAGGCCAGCCTGGTCTACATAGTAAGACCTTGTCTCAAAAAGAAAAAAAGAAATTTCAGAAACCCCACTGCGTTGAATGTATATAAGAATAGGAAGATGGTTTCAATTTCCTTCTGGTTCAGGCTAACTAGAATGAATCCTTCCTGTGCCTATCTCCTTTCCCTAGGGAGAAAGGATCCAATTAGGGAGGAATCGGCCCTTTTCAGGGAAGAAGCACTTTTCTATCTTGATCTTTTTATTTATCTGGGGAGGGGGTGTGCATGCCATGCAAGCAGAGGTCATAAGACAACTTGGAATCAGTTCTTTGCTACAGTGTGGGTTGGGGGAGGAGATTGAATACAGGTCTTCAGGTTTGACAGTAAGAGCCATTACTTGCTGAACTTTATCACCAGACCTATCTTGAACTTTTAGATAGGATCACAGTGATTTCCAGGCCAGACTGGGACAGACTGTCTCAAAAAGCTCCCATCTCCCTGAAAAAATTTTGAGCCATGCGTATGTGTTAATGGTGGCACATGCCTGTAAGTCTCAGTATTTGGCAGACTGAGGCAAGGGGGTTTTGAGTTCCAGACCAGCCTGGGCTACACAGCCAGACCCTGTCTTTAAAAATGGTTTAATTTGACTAGAGCAGCTGAGTACTACTGTCATACATTTGTTACTTCGTGGTCTAGTTTTCAGGCTGAGGAAAGGGATTATGTATGCAGTGATGGCCAGGGTCTAGTCCGCACATGCCCATCTGTGCACGTCCTTACTGCTCCTGCTCCTTTCTCAAAACCTACAAACCCACAACACTGCAGTAATCTTAAAATTATCATGAAGACCAAGATTTGGAGTTACTGGGGACATTGGAATTGATGCGAAGTTTCCAGTTTTTTAAAGTCATTGGAAACCAGATTTTCCAGATAGTTGAATTGTAAGAAAAAATTTAATGTGAGAATATGCATATATCATATATATGTGAAATCTTCATTTTGCTATTATTGAGGATGAAACTATTTTTCAAAGTAAGTTTTTAATTTTGAAGTGAAATATGCCACATTCAGGTCATAGAAATACAAAGCAGCCTTAATTTGTACAAAGGGGAGAAAAATGGGTATTCTTTAGGTGACAAACCTGAAGATCAGCTTTCTTAATTATGTAGCACCTCTGTAAATGTTTTAACTATATACACATGCATATTTGGATGTTCTACATCATTTTGAAGATAAAGTTTATTCAGTCTTTCTCTGTGGACCTATAGATACAGCTAGGTAGTTAACAGACTGGCATTGCTACTTCTCTAGGTCACCAGTGAGAAGCTGTGCAGAGCCCAACAAGAGCTTCATTTCCAAGCTGCCACCTATCTTTGCCTTTTGCGTAGCATCCGGCACCATGTGGCCCTGCATCAGGAATTTCATGGCAAGGGTGAGCGCTCAGTGGAGGAATCTGCTGGTTTGGTGGGCCTCCAGTTGCCCCGTCAGCCTGGAGGAAAGGGCTGGGAGCCGTGACCATGGAGAGAATCTTCAGATGTTATCTTCATTCAAGAATTTAACCATTTCTACCAATATGTATTTATCATTAAACCTTTTTTAAGATGTAAATTTTTGTGGGGTTTTTTTTCTATATTTTTGTTGACTGGTTAGGGGAATTTGCTGAACTTTGGTTCATTAATGTTCTTTATTTTGTGTTTGTGTGTGTGTGTGTGCGTGTGTATGGAGTGCTCTTGTACATTCAGGCTCATGTGGAGGCCAGAGGTTGACACAGCGAGATGTCTTCCTCAAATGCTTCTCTAACTTCTTGAGACGGGGTCTCTCCCTGAAGCTCAGTTTTGGCTTGAATGATTGGCCAGCAAGCCTCAGGATCTGCCTGTTTGGGCTCCCCAGCATTGGGGTTAGAGACATGTACTGCCAGCTAATAATGTGGGTGCTCAGGATCAAACCAGGCCCTCCTGATTGTAGAGCAAGTATTTTACCCACTGACCATCTCTTCCACTCCTAAAGATCTTGATCTTTTAGTTTCCTTTTAAAGTAATACAAGCCTATTGTCTTGAGGCACTCAAACGATACATAAATAGCCCATATTTGTCCTTTGTCTCTCCTTCCATTTCCATTACCAGGTGGTAAGCATCACTAAGTTTAATATAGTTTTTTTTTATATATTTCATATACATACACAAACACAAAATTAAATTAGCCCCAGCTGGCTTAGAACTCTATGTAGACCAGGTTGGCCTTGAACTCAGAGGTCCCCCTGCCTCTGCCTCCCAAGTGCTAGGATAAAAAGGTGTGCGCCAACAGGCCCGGCTATATATGTGTATTTTACAAGTTTTTATTATGTTGTATGCTATGTCAGAGTGCGGATTATGTGGAGACCAAAGGACCTTAGATAGGCAGTGCTCTCCTTCCACAGGGGGATCCAGGCTGTGATTTATGTGCTTTTACAGCTACCTGCCAGTTTAGTGTACCCTTTATAGAAAACACACAAGTATGATGTGTTGGGGTCCTGGCAGGAAACAAGGTTGAAGAGAGTTAAAGGGATACACAAAGATATGGAGTGAATTAAGTAAGATCAAGCCTTAAACTTTGAACTAGCAACAGTGGAGAACTATTTTCCTTGGGCCTGACATGCAGTTGTTCCTAAGGAACATGGTCATAGCTGAATCTCAACCCACAGGATGTCCAAGCAGAGGGGGACAGAGTGAGCACATTAAAACCTAACACTTAATCTTGTCAAATTGTTCTTCCTTTTGAACTATATTTGAGCAAATGGTTCTACTGGACATTTAGATAACCAAGTAAAAACGGGCCCTATTTGTTTTGGTCCCTTCTCACTCTGTATTTAATCAGTCAGCACTCTGCTTTTGCAATAGTTCCAAGTGCCTCCTATTCCTCTAATCTTCACTGCTTCTGCCCCAGTTCAAGCACTGATAATCTTTTGGTTGAACTATTAAACTATCCTAAATGGCCCTTTTACTTTAAATGTGCTTAATTCCTTAAATAAAATTATCTGCTATAAAACTCACGAAGAGAGATCCACCTACCTTTGCCTCCTGAACATGAGTCCATGTGCCACTACATCTGGCCTAAGAACATAAGAACATGTAATAAGAACCTGATGTTCACCTTCTACAATTATGTGGAGGGAAATAAATCATTGTAGCTTTGAAATATAAGCAAGCTAATTTAAGTGAATTCACTGTTTTGTAATGTAAGGTTTGTTTTTCTTGTGGTAGTGGGTATTGAACATAGTCTTGAGTGCTAAACAAGTATTCTACCACTGAGCTATATCCCCAGTCCTTCTGTTTTTATTTTGAAACAGTCTTTTTTTAAAAAAATGCATGTATGTGAATCTGAGCACATGTGTGCCATGGTGTGTGTGTGTGTGGTGTGTGTCGAGGTCAGATGACAACTTTTGGGAATAGGTTCTTCCAACATTGGTTCCAGGGATCTGAACTCAGTTTGTCAGTCTTCATAAGAATGGCTTTTACCCACCGCCCTACTAGGCATCCTCTTTAACAGGGTCTTTGTTGTTCAGGTTGATCTTTAGCTCAGTATGTATGGAGTCCAAGCACCTTGGACTTTTGTTCCTCTTGCCTCAGTCTCCCAAGTAACTGGGATTACAGGAGTATACCACCACACTTTGTAAAGTTAGTTTCTTTTTTGAGACAGGGTGTCATGTAGCCCAGGCTGGACTCCAACTCATTATGTAGTCAAGGCTGGCCTTGAATTCCTGTTCCTCCTTCCTCCACCTCCCAAGTTCTAGGGTTACAGGCATAAGCCACTACACTTGGCTTTATTTATTTATTTATTTATTTATTTATTTATTTATTTATTTATATGTTCATGGGTTCTCAATGAACATTTCTCATTAGTTAATCAGTTCCTAGCAGAGTAAAGAGAAATAAATCTATACCCAAATACATCTTAGTAAAACTATAGAAAACCAAAAGCAAAAAAGAACAATTTAAGTAGCTAAATAGTTATGGAGGACAAACAACTGACTTCTCAGGAGTAGAACATAAAACTGTCCATCTAATACAGCAACAAAAAAAAAGATGGTTGCAAATGAACAAAAATAGAATTCACTAACAGGCCAAAACAAAAGCAAACTCTAAAGTGGGGCAGGCAAATTTCTAAAGACTCAGATAAGTTACTATTGCAGGCAATATAGTATCTCTCAATCTTGCAACTCTGTAAAAGGGCAAAAGCAACTGTAGACAAAATGAAAATGAGTAAGTATGACAGTATTTCAATGAAACTGTTAATAAAAACAGGCAGTGTAGCCAGGTATGGTGGCCCATGCCTTTAATCCTGACCCTGAGGAGGCAGAGGCAGGGAGATCTCTTTGAGATCAAGGCTAGCTTGGTCTACATAGCAAGTCCCAGAACAGCTGGGACTACAAGACAATCCTGCTTCAAAAAACCAAAAATCAGGGCTGGAGAGATGGCTCAGTGGATAAGAACACTGGTTGTTCTTGCAGAAGATGACCAGGGTTCGAATCCCAGCACTGACATGGCAGCCAACAACTTTCCGTAACTCCAGTTCCAGGGGATCTGACAGCCTCTTTTGACCTCCGTGGGCAATGCATGATACAGGTGCACTTACCTACATGCAGGCAATACACACATACACATTAAAAAAACAAAAACAAAAAAACCCTCAAAAATCATAAACAATCAAAACCAAAAAAACCAGGCAGTACTGCTTAAGCCTGTAATCTCAGCACTTGGAAGGTAGAGGCAAGACAATCAGTTCAAGGTTATCCTTAGTTACACAGCAAGTTTATGGCCAGCCTGGGCTATGTGAGACCTTGTCTCAAAAAACAAAATCAGCTGGATATGATGTCAAACACCTTTAATCCCAGCACTCAGGAGCCAAAGTAGGCAGATCTCTGAGTTCCAGGCCAGCTAGGACTACAGGCTCTGTCTCAAAAGACAAAACAACAACAAAAAAAAAACATAATTATGCAACACTTCAGTTTTTTTTAAATTTTATTACTTTTATGTATATGAGTGTTACGCCCGCATGTAAGTTAAGTGCACCCGTGTCATGCAATGCCCATAGAGACTGTCGGATCCCTTGGAACTGGAGTTATGGACAGTTGTTAGTGGCCATGTGGGTGCTGGGATTCAAACCCAGGTCTTCTGCAAGAACAGTCAGTGTTCTTAACTGCTGAGGCATCTGTCCAGCCCTCAGGTTTTTTGTTTTGTTTTTTAAACTTTATTTTTGAGACAGGGTTTCCCTGTAGCTCCTGCTGGCCTAGAACTTGCCTTTTAGACCAGGCTGGCCTTGAACTCACAGAGATCCTTCTGCCTCTGCCTCCCGAGTACTGGGATTAAAGGCATGTGCCACCACAACCATCCATTTCAGTGTTTAAGGGTATTTTTTAGGATAACACAGTATTTATAATAGTGCCATTTGAGACAGGGTCTCCCTGTAGCCCCAGCTGTCCTGGAACTCACTATGTAGACAAGGCTGGCCTTGAACTCACAGGGATTCACCTGCCTCTGCCTCCCAAGTGCTGGGATTAAAGGCGCACACCACCACGCCCAGCTACTTTTCTTTTTTAAAACATTTTTGTTGTTGTTTTTTGGTCTTTTTGAGACAGGAACCCACCACACCCAGTGCTTTTAAAACATTATTTTTATGTGTATGAGTGTTATGCCTGCATGTATGTAAGTACACCTGTGTCATGCAATGCCCCAGAGGTCTGAAGAGGGTGTGTGGGTGCTGGGAATTGGGTTCTCTGCAAGATCAGCCAGTGCTCTTAACCCCAGTCATCTTTCCAGTTCCTGTATATTACTTTACAAGGATAATACTTGTAGTATTCATTTGCAGTTCTTTAGAATTTAAGTTCTTGGGGCAGTAGGAATAGCTCTGAGGTTAAGAAAACTTCCTGTTCTCCCAGAGGACCCACGGTTTAGACCCCAGGTTCAGTTCCCAGCACACACATGGTAGCTCACATCATCATATAACTCCAGCACCAGGGGAACTGATGCTCTCTTCTAGCCTTGGAGACCACATACATGTGTCATACACAAATACACACAGATAAATCTTAAAAAAAAAAAAAAAAAAAGCAGCCAGGAGTAGAGGTACACGCCTTTAATCCCAACACTCAGGAGGTAGAGAGGCAGGTGGATCTCATTGAGTTCAAGCCAGCCTGGTCTACATAGTGAGTTCCAGGCCAGCTGGGGCTACAGGGAGACCCTGTCTCAAAAAGACACCCCCCCCCAAAAAAATTGGGGGGCTGATGAGTTGGCTTAGTGAGTAAAAGCATTGCTGCCAAGCCAGAGGACCCAAGTTCAAGTCCCAGGACCCACATGGTGGAAAAAGAATGCACACATACACACATGCACACACACACACACACACACACACACACACACAAATAATGAATAAAATAAATAAGTATAATTTAAAGAAGGAATTTTGAATTCTTGAGCCAGGTACAGTACCACACGCCTAATCCATGTGCTTGGGAGGCTGAGGTAGGATGTCAAATTCCAGGATAGCTTGGGCTACACAGTATAATAAATCACTATGGTCCATTTTTCAATATGAGGTTCGTTCAGAGTTCATCAGAGAACCACAGCTATGCA